GAACCTCGCGATGATGAGCCTCCGTTCTCGCGGTTGCACGATTGGTCGGGGCAGAGGCTCGTTTTCCAAGTGATGTGCTTATTAGCTAAAAGAGTGGCTTCCTCTAGACTGGATCCGCCCACTGGTCCGCTCCTGCTTCCGGCTCCGATTCGGGGTGGTAGGTGCTGGATGTTAAGAAGAGTGTTTTCTTGCGTGGATTCATAAAGGGGTAATCAGCCCCGCCAACCTCAGGACGCACCAGTAACTGACCTGTTCGTTCATTCACGTATTCATTCAGGCGCTCGAGTTCTCATTCAGTTCGTAGGTTGAGGGATAATTTACACCCGAGGTTGAGCGTTCATTGTGTGCCGCGCAGCGTTCTAAGAGCTGTGCACGAATGACCGCATGTCAGTCCTAACAGCGATCCCATGACACTGGTACTGACGGATTTAAACCTGAGGCCGAGGGGTTTATGTAACGCAACTGAGGTTGGTCAGCACGCCATGAGTCTAAGCCCTGGATTTACGGGCTCCCTCTCACTGCACACCGTTAAGTTCCAAATCCGAGGATCGTCGAAACAGTTGCTAAAAGGCCAATGATTTAGAAAGCTAAACACTATGGCAGTTTCTAGCATGACTAAGTAAGCAGTCAGGTATTTCTTCAAGATGAAAATGCCTGTGTCCGCCGAGCTTCACGCCTGGGGGCAAAAATCCAAGCGTTGTTTAAATATATTTTTTAAAATACTTTTTAATTCATACTCACAAACTGTTATTCTTTGTCCTTTGAAAAACTTGATGTTTGTAAATTTGCTAGAGCTTATTATCAAGCAACCTTAACTTTATAATGAGCTAGTTTTATATTGACTTACTTTTAGAAAGGAATAATTTAGAAGGCAGAGTTATATTAAGTGAAAACCCCTATTCCAAAATAAAGTATGAGGGTTGGGTGTGTGTAGCTCAGTGGCGCCGCACCTGCCTGGCAAGAGCAAGGTCCTGAGTTTGATCCTCATTACCAGAAAGGCGGGGGGTGGGGGGGACAGAACCCAAGACAGAGTACAGTGGTACATGCATACTCAAAGCAAAGTATGAGTTATAATAAAGTGTATCAATTATCTTTATTATATCTGGTCTCCAGGAGTTACTAAAATATGTCATAGTATATGTCCTATATTTCTAAGACCTTTTAAATACCGCAAATATTTTGTTGGACTTAAGGAAACCTACAGTTTGTGTAATAGCAAAAGTCAGGCTATGAAAGATCACCCCAAATAATAAGACTTGCAGCTAATAGTCAAAGAGTCCAAAAAAGACAGACAACAGAAAATGCATTTTTTTAAACAAAAGTAATCAAGTTTCTTAGCTTTCGTTTCTTTTTTTACAAGACAGAAATATTTGGCCTCTGGGGCATTAATATCTACTATATCATCATAAGAAAAGGAATCATGTTGAAATAACTTTCACACTCTTCCCAGATTGACAAAAAGTCTCTGAGTGATTATTTGTTACAATATCCTATGACCACTCTTAGACGTTCTCTCAAATTCTATAGACACAACATATTTTTGTCTCAAAACAATGAATCTTCCAATTTATACTAAAGATTTTACATTCATTGACAAATGTTAACATCAACAGACAGTGATACCACTTTAAGAAAATTCCAAGGCAAAGACAACCCTATTTTAAAATTCCCACCTCTGGCTCCCAAGGATTGGGTTACAAACTTGGACAAAATACTCTTCCCCACTTCCTATTGGTGAATGCTCTATCATTCATTCTTCAGCCAGGAGTTTTGTGAGGCACCCCATTGCTTTATGGGAGAAGCCTGTTCTAATTTAGTCGGGAACTGCCCTACTTTTAGACTTTTTTTTTATGGTTATCAATCTATACAAAGAATCTCCAAATTGATACAGCAGGAACCAAGCTGGCAAATTAATCTGTCAAGACTGCGATTTGCTTGAAAAGGAAATGGAGACTCTCAAGCTCACTGGGTAAAGTGACAAAGGATTTTACGAGATAGTTGGAGATTTGGAGAGCTAAAGAAACTTTTCTGGGTTTGGCTAGTTTTAAAGGAGCATCAGGAAAAGCAGAGAGAATACAGGCACAGAGTGGCAGGATGAAGAATTTTCAGAGGGTATTTTTCTCTGTAGGATGAAGTTGGAAAACATTAGCCCCAGTTTATCAGTGGAGTTTTGAGCGATTTAAAAAAAACAGAATAAGATTAATCTTACTGTATTGTCTACTTTAAGAAACCACTTTGTTATTGTTGCTTGAATATAGATTTAGACAATACTATTGTGACTTTTAAATGAAATGGGTATTTTTTATAGACTATATCTAGCCAAATAAATGATTAACTTATTAAAGATATGGGAAAATTAGAGTAGGCTTTGGAGCCAAATTTTGTATATGTTTGAAAATTAAGAAATCCAGAAACAGATCTACCTATTGCCAAGCAAGACAGTATTGGTGTGTGAAACAGAATCAGCAGATAGTTTATGTCAGATAAATCCCCCCCTCCCAAGAAGCCTAGCATTTATATTTCAAAACTAATATTTTTTATTAAAACTAAAATATCACAGTTCAGGAAAATAGTTGTTCTGATAAACAAGAAAAACTATTTACCGAATGGTGGTTGTTAATTCCTATATGGGCATTTAACATATCACACAAAGCTCACGTTGCAGCTCTGGACAAATTGAGGCTCAGGACTTTTAGATGAAAACTGAACATTGCATGTTGCCCCGATGACTTTTACGGGCCAATGGGTGCTTTAGAAGCTCAGATCTGTGTGAGCTGAGTTATTCGGAGAACTTCGTGGTATGGTACTGATTTGAGCAATTGCCAAGATTTCAGTAAGGAGGTGGCATGAGAGGGCTGTCGAGCACGTAGGTGCAGAGAACCTAAATGGGGAGTGGGCTCAGATTGCAGCAGAAGGCTCATTTGGGAGCCTGGGTTAAAATAATAATGTATTTTAAAGCATGAGAAATTCCATGAAGAGCCAATGATGCCAGCATTAAGGACTTGGATTATACATTTTCAATAGGAGGGAAACCATAAGGGAGGAGGATTAGAAGATGACAGAACTGGCAGTGTGATTTAAACATGACTTCAAGGACAAAGGCAAAAAGCTCAGGGACTCAATAATATAAATACTGGCACACAGATTGGTAACTAGGCCTCTCAAGATATTTTATCCACATAGCTTTACTGTTGCTAAATGGTAAACATCAATGCATTTCTTTACAGTCTTTGACAGCACTGAGTTTAGCGATACAGATACACATTTTGTCAGGTGAGAGTGTGATATAATTACAGTGGTAAAGGTGGTTTTGTTCACATTAAGTTGGTTCTTTTTCCTTCTCTCAGAATTTGAGTGTGTTCTCCTAATTCTTTTCAATGAGGTGAAGGAATCTCCACCAAAAAGTTACGATTGAAAGATTATCATGAGACATGTTCTTAGGCACCTGAGCTGTTCCTGAGACAAAACTCAAGTCCTCACACTCAGGAACCTGCTGCAATGTAGCAGACACAATGCTCGGCATTGTGAAAGCAAAGATGAATCAAGGACAGTCTCCCCAAAAAGAGCAAAGTGCTCCAGGGACACCACAAGGGGCATTTGTCTCCTACTTACCTTTGTCCTTCCAAGAAACTTGCTTCACGGAATCAAACTCATCTACCCTAAGGTGTCCATCAGTGGTTTCTAAGTAGGTAGAGGGAGAAGGAGAAGTCTGCAGCTCCGAGACACAGTTCCCACACTACATTGGACAGATGTGCAATGCTGCAGTGCTCATCGTAAGCCCCTGATAGCCCAGCCAGCTTGGAGTTAGGGGAGCAAAGGCAACACAGTGAAATGCAAATGACTTGTGTCACTTCTGGGCAATGGCATTGAAAAAGCCTCTTCACACCTTTTCAGTCTTTCTCACTCTGCATGACTCCTGTAGATTATAGGTAAGCCTTGGCCTACGTGAGTCTGAGTGACTCTAGAAAAGACTCCGCGCCATCCCTCATCTGAAAAATTTGCAACATTAAGGAGTTGTTTCATTATAGCTTACCCAAGCCTGACTTACCTCCAACTGGAGATTTGGGCATTTTATTTCATTTTTTTTTTAATAAGAAAAAAATATAATCAATTGAGTTTGAGGTATCAGGTGGATAAGGTATTTGGGGAGAAAAATCTCACTACAAGTATGGTTTAATTATTCATCCAGTATTTATTTATTTATTGATGAAGCAGGACCTCACTACGTAGTTGAGACTGAGCTGGAACTCACCATGTAGCCCAGGAAAGTCTCGAACTCACGCCTCGGCCTCCCGAGTGCTGGGATTACAGGCATGTGCCACCACGCCTGGCCATCTAGTATTTATTGATAGGTACGGGCATGGGCCCTGAGTGATCCAGTGATCCATTCATTTATGAAGCAACACTATCTACTTAAGATTGATTTTGAAGATTTGGGGGGCTCTGCCATGTTGACTTTGGGAATCAAGCAGCCCTAACTTATAAAAGTCTTGTAGTCATATGACTACAAGAGCCAGAATTACATACACTGCATTGTGGTTTCATAGCTTTTTTTTTTTTCACTAGTACATGTTCATAGTATGTAGTTTACATTACTTGTGTGGAGCTGGTGCATGTACATAATATTATCTTAATTTCTTTTTTTCATCTCTTTCCTTCCCTCCCTCCTCCCTCCTGCCTCCTGCCTCCTGCCTCCATCTGTGTCTTTTTTTTGGGGGGGTCACCGATTATCAAATTCAGGACCTTGTGTTTGCACGGCAGGTGGCGGCACAACTGAGCTAAATCCTGGCTCACCATCCATCTCTTAATCCTCCGTCTTTAACAGATTTAGTAAAGTATTATTTATATAGCTTAAATGCACTTATGTTAAAAATACAGCTAAATAATTACTTTTTAAAATTTACAGCAGCCAGGGATTTGGCTCAGTGGTCCTGCTGCCTGCCTCATAAGCACAAGAACCCAAGTTCGATCCCTGGTACCAAAAAATAAATAAATAAATGAATAAATTCGCAGTTGTAGAACTATTAACCACAGTCCAATTTTTAAAACTTTCCATCGCCCTAAAAAGACACCTTGTTCCCATGCAGACAGCTCCCTTTTTCTATCCACAGCCCCAGACAGTCACTTCTAATCTTTCTGTTTCTGTAGATTTACCATTTCTGGGCATTTTCTAGTCAGTGGAATCATACAGTACCTATGGTGTTCCCCATCTGGCTTCTTTCATTCAGCATAGTGTTGTTGAGGTTTATTTGTGCTGTATGTATTATTGCTTCATTCCTTTTTATTGCCAAATAATAGTCCATTATATGGCAGTGCTTCTGTTTATCCATTCCCCCACTGACAGAAATTTGGATTGTTTTCAGTCTTTAGCTATTGTGATTAAAGCAGCTATAAAAATGTATATGGTCTTGTGTGAACTTTGTTATCAGTTTCCCTAGGTACCTACACAGTACGGAGGAGTGAAATTGGTGAGTCATACTGTAATGCAACTTTAACCTTTTGAGAAATATCACAAGTGCTTACTAAGTTGTATGCCTTGTTTTGCATTCCTCCTAGCAATGTATGACAATTTCAATTTCTCTACATTCTCACAATCCTTGTAATAGTCTGCCTTTTTTGTTATGGCTATTCCAGTGGATGTGAAATGGTATCTTCTTGTGGTTTTGATGTGTATTTTGCTAGTGACTCATGATGTTGAACATCATTTTGTGTTTGTTGGCCACCTGTATATCTTCTTTGTAATTTCAGTTCAAATATTTGGCCCATGTTTTAATTGGGTTATTTTCATCTTATTATTGAGTTGCAAATATTCTTTATATATTCTTTATAAAAGCCCTTTATTAGATACATAATTTTAAAAATATTTTCTCTGATTTGTAGCTTGTCTTTTAACTTTAGTAATGGTATCCTTTGAAGGCAAAAATTTTTTGATTCAGTACAGTTAATCTTTTTTTTTCTGTTATCATTTGTGCTTTTGTTTAGTACCCAAGAAATCTTTGCCTAACACAAGGTCTTGAAGGTTGACTCCTATGTTTGCTAAGGACTTTATAATTGTTTTAGCTCTCACTTTAGGTCTTTGATATATTTGGAAGTGAATTATTATACACAGTATGACATAGAAGTCAGCTTCATTCGTTGCATGTGCCCATACAGTTTTTCCAGCATTATTTATTAAAGATACTAATATTTCCCCCATTGAATGATCTTGACATATGTTTCAAAAATAATTGATATGCAACACCCTGGGCTTGATTCCCCAATACTACACATGCACAAAAGAATATTGACCGTATTATATGTCAGAGTTTAATTTTGGATTCTCAAGTCTTTTCTGGTTTTCTGTATGTTAACCCTTATGCCAGTACCACACTAGTTTGTAGGGATTCTCTCACCAAGTTCCACTGAGTTGTAACTGACAAATAAAAAATTAAATATACTTATGGTGTACATCCTGTTGTTTTAATATAAGTACACTTTTTGAATGATTCCCACAATCAAGCTAGCTCACACAATCCATTCACTGATAAAATTACTGTTTGTGTGTGATAAAAACAAAAGTTTTAAGTATATGGCATTATTAATCATAGTCACTATGCTGTCCATTATATCTCTAGAACTTTTAGTGAAATTTTTAAAGTACAACTATTTTGATTACCATAGTTTAGTAGTAAGTTTTAAAATTGGAACATGTGAGCATTTTCAACTTTCTTATTTTCAAAGATTGTTTTATCTTTTTTGAGTTTCTTCATTCTCATATAAATTTGAGGATCATTGTGTCAATTTGTTGAAGAAACAAAAAGGCAGTTGAAATTTTGCTAAGGATCTCATTAAATCCAGGAATCAATTTGAGGAACATTGCTGTCTTGATAATATTGAGGCTTCTAATCTATGAGCATAGACTCTCTCTCCATGTATTTAATCTTTAATTTTCAGTGTATGCATCTTATGCTTTTTTTTATATTTATTCTGAAATATTTTATTTTTTGATGCCATTATGGATGAAGTGCTTTTTAAATTTCATTTCAGATTATTTGTTGTCATTTTATAGAAATATAGTTTTTTTAAAAATTACTTTGTATTCTGTGACCTTACTGAACTTGTTTCTGTAGGGGTATTATTTATTTATTTTTCCTAAACTCCTTAGAATTTTCTACGTACAGGATCACGCCATCTGATAATACAGTTTTATTTCCTCCTTTCTAATCTTCATACCTTTATTTCTTCTTCTTGTACTATTGCACTGGCTGAAATATTCATTACAGTCTTGAATACAAGCAGTGAGAGAATACAACCTTGACTTTTTTGTTACTCTTAGGAGGAAAACATTCACCATATTATGTTAGCTTTGGTTTTTTAAAATCAGATTTTTTTCAGGTTGGGAAGTTTTATCATGAGTGGGTGTTTGATTTTGCCATTTTTTTCTGTGCATGAATGTGTGGTTTTTATCTTGTATTCTATTAAGATAGTATATTACATTAATGAATTCCTACGTTAAACCAACTTTCCATTTCTGGCATAAATCCTCCTCACATGTTATGGATAATCCTTTTTATATGTTTCTAGATTTGGGTGGCCAATTTTTTGTGGACTTTTGTTCCACATTCATGAAGGATAGTAGTTTTGTTCTTCCTTTGATGTCTGACTGGGTTTGGTGACAGGGCCGTTCTGGTCTCACGGAATAAGTTGGAAAGGATTTGCTCTCTGTAGTTAGTTTTTGGAAGAGTTTGCAAAGCATTCATTTTGTTTCTTCTTAAATGATTTGATAGGATTTACCACTGAAATGCTTGGGTCAGCTTAGCTTTATGTCAAAACTTTAAATTATTAATTTCATTTCTTTACTTGTTATATGTTTATTCCAATTTTCTGTTTTTTATTCAATTTCAGCATTTTGTGTCTCCCTAGGATGTTTTCCCAGTGCCTCTTGCTTACATAAGGGTCATTTGTTTTTAAACTAGGCACCCTCTTCACGTCATCATAGTTGTTAATTCCTAAGAGGGCCCCTGCCCCTCCCTGAGGCCCACCCTTACACCATCCCTACAGGTCAGCACCCAAGAGTCAGCACCTGAAACAACACAGGGACCTTAAGAACCTAGTTCCAGAACAGTTGCCACCTGCACGGATTGGTTGATCCTCCTATTCGCCCTGTTCTTCAGTTATTAAATATTTTTACACATCACCTCTTGCACATGGAAGTCTGAGATCCCACTGCAGACCTCCTCCTCCCCAACTTGATCTGGAGCTGATTGTGTACTTCAGCATTCTACTAGACATGTCTGGGAGGACACACAGCATGGATTGATTGGGTAAGACTGACCGGCAGTTGTGGGTGCAGATTGAGAGGCTTAGGAACCCAAGGCAGCCAGGGAGAGAGTGATACGTGGAGCCTGGGCTGATTTCTAATGAAATTTTAAGCCCCAGCTATGGCTATTACAAAGAAAAGGAAGGTGGCTGGGATATGTGTGTAGCTCAAAGTAAGTGAACTGAAGATATGTGTTTCAAGGTCTCACTGGATGATGCCACACAAATCGAAACACACATATTTCAAGTAAGATCCTTAGTTCAAATCCTCCCAGGAGCCCAACTTGTAACCCACCACCTTCCATTGATGCAGACATGCACATCTCTGAACTTAGACATTACTATCAATGGCAAGTCACACATTGTGTATAACATGGGAGTGTCCTGGATTCAAAGGCGCTTTAAATTAGATGAAATTCAAGAAGTGAGTAGCATGGGCAAGGAAAATCACATTTCTCTGTGCCTACCTTTCACTTCTAAAGAGATTAATTCAAAGACATTATCATGGCTTGTGTCTGGATGTCCCCGCAGAACCTCGTGTGGTCATAGGTGGCTTTCTCAGAAGTGGCTGGATCTAGAGTGTGTGATTCCTAAACCAGTCCACTGATTGGTTTGGCATAGCTCTGGGTAGGACTAAGGGTGGCCCACCACCGTGGGTGTGAGTGCTAGGGGCCCTAAGGGCGGGTAGCCTGGATAAAACATAAGGGACAGAAAGAAGGCTGGTGGGCTGGCTTGTGGCTTGTTGCTTGCTGCCTTTCGATTACCTGCTTTATGACGCCACGCTGCCCTGCCTTGGGACTAGCCAAATAACCAAAACTTCTACAAACTGTGAGCTAAAATAAACCTTTCCTCCTTTTACTTTGGATGTTGGATATTTTGTCTCAGCAACAAGAAAAGAGTAACTAAGACGGACTTACTCTTACATGGTAAGAAAACAACACAGCAGTCATGACATTTCAACTAGTTTGTTGCCTCCATGACCTGGAGTCAGTAGATCATGGCCACAGCTGGCAAACCGGAGAGAGCCCTGGGTTCCAGAGGCAGCGGTCGCTCCGCCCTGGCTGATGTCTATGGTGACAGATGCCCAGTATTAACAGGTGTGCTGAGTTATCAAAGGAAGGTTAATTTAGCAGTTTATGAGCAACTCCTAATTTTAAAGCAGTGGCTTGATTTTTTAAACTGTCTGGCAAAAAAATAAAATGCACTCTAGTTAGATCTAGTCTGTGATCATTTGGGTTAAATATGGTCCCTGCGCTAAAGATGTAGTACTTTATTAAGTAGTATGAGACAAACCACTTTTTAGAGTGAAGCCAAAAAAGAAAAACCCATCTCAAAATTAACACTTGGTTCATGGGTGTGGAATAAAAAAATACAGTAGGGCGTATTACTCAGGTCCCTTTTAAACATTTTTTTTCTGCTCCCTTCTCAATAGAAGGTAAGAAAATGAGGTTAAATCTATTGAAGATGTTGTATTTCCTGTTTATAAAAATAGATGATCACTTTTAACATTCAGACTCAGGTTTCCAAAGCAACAGCATTTGCTGTTTATAGCTATAAACAGTGGTCAGTGAGAGACAGGACGGTGGAGTAGAAAATCATCAGATTACTGAAAGACCAAGTTCTGATTCTGGCCTTCTGATGGTGTGCAAGTAATTTAGTGTCCTTTGGCTTTGTTGTCCCAGTTTATAAAACGGGTAGGGAGACCTGCCTGCTGTAGCTCACCTGGGTGTATTCAGGGCATGTGGGGTGAAACTTGGAAAGAAAAGGGTTGGGTCACTACCAGCTGTTCCCATTGCCCACACTATATAGGTGGCCTCGGCTCTCCAGTCTCGAGTCCCCAGCATAGTCTATGGCTCTATCTCCAGACCACGGATACCTTAGCCAGTGGGTTGAACAGACGAAGAGACACAAGGCAAGAAGACATTTTTAAAAGTTAGCCACATCTTGGAACCTGAAATAGTACTGTAGAAGGGGTGTAGGCAACTTTTAGATGGCAACATTGAAGGATTAAACTTCCATATTTGCAGTTCAGAGTCACCTGAATTGTACATCAGCGTCGGGGGCCTTCCCACAGTTTGACCTTTAGGTGTTTCCTTCCTGTTCTCTTTCATATTTTCATTCTCGTTTGCTTTATTAGGAAAAGAAAAGCCCCCACTTTTTTCTTGGTGGATATCTTTTTTCGGACAACGCAAAGCTCTAGTTTAGATTTGTAAGGAGTCAACATACTTTACTTTGGTGACCTATATACAGTCTGCTTTGACTCTACACTGTCAAATCCTGTTGAGAAATAAGCATAGAGTAAGTTATACATTTTTAAGGAAAAAAAAATCTCATTCGGAAGATGTCACTCAAAACTAGTGACGTATTTCTAACTTCTAAGTTGGACATATATTTATAAATTTATTCCCATAACCTCAGATTCACTCTGATGAAAATAAGTTGATTGTCCTACCAAAAAAATGAATCCACCTTGATCTCACTACTTTTCTTTATGGCATCACTGTTTTTTAGGGGTTCATATATATATATACTTTTTCTATAAAGGACCAGATAGTGAATATTTTAGGCTTTGAGAAACATAGAATTTCAGTCACAACTACTCACCTCTGCTATTGTAGTGCAAAAGCAGCCATAGACAATATGTAAGTCTATGATCATGGCTGTATTCTAATAAAACTTTATAAAAAAACAGTGGATTTGGGCTGTGGCCTTAGTCTAGAGTCCCAGAATGAAATCATCAGAATCAGTCTTCACTGTCTGCCTTTAAGGTACACATCCAAGCAGCTCTCAAGTAACAATAATTCCTTTCAGTAATTCCCCTCATTCCTCTCCTCGTTTCTGTTCCCCACTGCTGATCGGACATTCTATACAACACAGTGACATTTTTTTTTCTAGTGGTGGTAAGGGAGGTGTCTTATGCTTTTTCTGATTCTTATTGATAGTGATATCTTAGGGAAGTTTTACCTAACTCAGAATCACAAAGGTTTTCACATAGAAGTTTTTATAATCTTGGGTTTTAAATTTAGCCCTGTGTTACATTTTGAGTTAATTCTTGTATCTATAGTGAGGTTGGGATCAAAAGGGGTTTTGTTTGTTTTGTATTAACATGTGAATTTTCAATGGCTCCAGCATCATTTGTTGAACTACTACTTTTTCTCCAATGAAGTGCCTTTGCCTCTCTGCCAGTGAGTGGCTTGTATAAACATGGGTCTGTTTTCAGGCTCTATTCAGTGCCATTGATCAATTTTTAAAAAATCTTACTACTATTGTAAACTGCCTTTTCTACTGTAGCTTCGTGGTCTTGGAAATAGTCATGTGAACCCTCCAGTTCAGTTCTACTCGTACAAAATTATTTTGTTTTATAGGTCCTTTGCATTTTCATATGCATTTTAGGAATTTTGTCTAGTCCTACCCAAAATGAAAACAAAACAGAATCCATGCAAGTGTTTGGATTGGGATGGCTTTAAAGGTTTAGATTACTTGGGATTAACATTAATGTTGAGTCTTCCAACGCATGAACATGGTGTATGTTTTCATTTATTTAGACCTTCTTTAGTTTATCTCAGTAGTACTCTGTAGCTTTATTCAGGTCTTAATAATATGGTAAATTTATTCCTATTTCCCCTTTTTGATGCTAATGCACATTAAATTTCAGTCTGATGGTTCACTGCTGATACATAGAAATATTTTGCTTAGTGATCTTGCATTCTACAACTTTACTAAACTCACTTATTCTAATAGATTTTTTTTATATATTGCATAAAAGCAGTTTTGTTTCTTCCTTTTCTTTACTTTATTTCTTCATGTATTGCCCTGGCTATGAATTCCAGTAGAGTGTTGAATAGAAACCCTGAGAGTAAATCTGCACATCTTGTTTCTGATCTGGGACAGTAGCACATACTTGTAATTCCAGCTACTCCAAGAGTTCAGGCAGGAGGACTGCAAGTCAAGGCCAGACCAGACAACTTAACAATACTTTGTCTTAAAAAAGAATTGAATAAATTAAGAAAAGAAAAGAAAGTGCAGGAAGATATGGTTCAGTGATAGAGTGATTGACTAGTACGCAGGAGGCTCTGGGCTCAGTCCCCACTCCCTACCCTGCAAAAAATAAAAAGCTGGGTGTGTGGTGCCACAAATTTGAGCCCAGTCTAGGCAATTTAGCAATTTAGTGAGAACTTGTCTCAAAATAAATAAAAAATGTTGGGCTATAGCTTAGTGTGAAAGTCCTGGGTTCGATCCCCAGGATGGGGGGGGGAGGAAAAGAATGGAAAAAGATGCAAGAAAGGAATGAAGGAGAGAGAAAAAAGAATGAAGAGAGAAAGAGACAGAAACCAATTTTTCACCATTAGATCTGTTGCTAGGTTTTTCAGAAATGCCTTTTATGTAACTAAAGAAGTACAGTTCTATTTGCACTTTACAAAGAGTATTTTAAAAATCAGGAGTGGATACTAGATATTAGATTTTGTCAAATGCTTTTTCTTCGTTGATTGAAATGATCATACAGTTTTTCTTTTTAAAATCTAGGTTGTAAATTACATTGAATGGTTTTCAAATGTTAAGCCAATCTTGCATTTATGAGATAAACCCCACTTGGCTGTGATGTGTTTTCCCTTTTATAAATTGTTGGATCTAACCTATTAAAATTTTGTTATGAGTTTTTGCACTTGTACTTCGGAGGCATACAAATCTGCAGTTTTCTTTTTCTTCTCATGTATTTGTCCTGGTTTCATATCAGAATCTCTTGGAATTAGTCAAAAAATAGTCTTTCTCCATTCTCTGGAAGAGGTTTGTGTACTTGATTTGCCAGCTTTCTTCTATATCTGAGAGAATTCAGCAGAGAAGCCACTTGGTACTGCAGTTTTTTTGGTTTCATTGACTTTTCTCTCTATTATTTTTGCTTTTATTTCATCCATTTATGAGTTTAGCATTATACTCTACTTAATTATTTTTTTTACTTTCAGTTTAACTTGTTTTGCATTTTCTTGCTCCTGAAGGTAAACTGAGGTCATTAATCTGAGCTCCTTGTAGTTGTCTAACAGACAACTACAAATGTTATAAACTTTCCCATAGGGTCTGTCTTTTTGGCATCCTTGGATTCCTGTAAATTGTTCTTTTATACTCATTCAGTTAAAACTAGTTTTATTTTCCTTTTTTGAATTCTTCTTTGACCCATGGCTTATTTAGAAATCTGTTGCTTAGTTTCCCCAAATTTGGACATTTTCTAGATAACTTTCTGTAGCTGATTTATGATTTAATGCATTGTGGGCAGAGAAGGATACACTTTATAAGACTTGAATTCTTATAATTCTCATTGAAATTTTGTTTTATGGCTTTAAATACAATATGTCTTAGTTAATGTCTATGCACACTTGAAAAAATATGTATTCTTTTATTGGTACAGGGTTCTAGTAGTCCAAGTCTTCTATACCCTTACTGATTTTCTGCTTACTTAGTATATTAGCTATTGAGAGAAAGTAAACCTCTTACTAGAATTGAAAATTTATGTATTTCTTTTTATAGCTTTATCTACTTTCAGTCTGTTTGAAACTGTAATTAATTGTATGAACATGTAAGATGATTATGTTTTCTTGATGAATTGATCCTTATATCATTAATAAATTACCTATTTTATCCTTGATAATATTCTTTGCTATAAAATATATCTCTATATATATTATATATAATATATTTACTTCGTTTATTTTTTACTAGTTTTCAGATATTATTTTCCATGCTTTCACATTTAATCTAGTTGTCTGTCTATATTTAAGTTCCTTGTAAACTACATGTAGACTACTTTCAGTCTGTTTGAAACTGTAATTAATTGTATGAACATGTAAGATGATTATGTTTTCTTGATGAATTGATCCTTATATCATTAATAAATTACCTATTTTATCCTTGATAATATTCTTTGCTATAAAATATATCTCTATATATATTATATATAATATATTTACTTCGTTTATTTTTTACTAGTTTTCAGATATTATTTTCCATGCTTTCACATTTAATCTAGTTGTCTGTCTATATTTAAGTTCCTTGTAAACTACATGTAGTTAGATTTTGACTTTTTATTCAATATGCCAATCTCTGCCTCTTCATTAGAATGTGTAGACCATTTACATTTAATGTAGTTAAATTTATTTACTATTTTCTATCTGTTCCATGTGTTCGTTGTTCATATTTCCCTCTTCTGTTGGGTTATTTTTATGACTCCATTTTACCCATGCTATTGCCTTATTGTTTACAAATCTATATTTTGTAATTCTAATGGTTACCCTAGCTTTATAACTATATATTAGCAATGGCGAACCTTTTAGTGCTTTCAGTGATAACAAATAGCCAGCTGTGGCACACATGCCATTGGTTCGCCACCAGTGCTATATATCTCTAATTTACCTGTCTACCTTCAAGTAATATTATATTACTTCAGATGTTATTTAAGGACATTTATTTTCTGCATCGCCATCAGCTGGAGTTCAGCTGATCCAATAATTGTTTTTTTAATGAACGAAGAGTATTTGGTTTAGTTGAAACTGAAGATCAGCTTGAAACTTTTCAAAGAAGTCAGTCCTAGCCACCTTGACCTTTTGGGATACCCTGTTACTAATTTCAAAGGAGTTATAGAGTTGAAATTTCTAGACTCTAACTCAATTTCTAGGGGATGGAATGTATATTTCTAAAAGTAACTACAGAAGTTATTTAATACTTTCATTTTTCATTTAAAAACTAGAGGACAATGTATATAAAAATATGCAAGAGTCACAGGAGACCCACATATCCAACCACTTAGATGAAGTCGTTGCTGCTGTTAGCATCAATCCTAGAAAGAAGATCCAGAGCAAGCTGCCGCAGACAGTGCTGTTCCAGCCTCCTCGAGAGAAACTCCACCTCTGTGAAGAGAAAGCCAAGTCCTACCTCAGCAGTCACCAAGTAAGAAGCCTTTCCATTCTCTGTCTGTTCTTTGGGAACTGCTGTACCACATGGCTGAAAGAAGCAGAGATTTTAGGTTACATTCCTAGTCAGAAGACTGTGACAAATGAGCACATAAGAGAAAGCCTCTGCTGTATCGTGAGTGAATGTAAGGCTGCAGGGCTCCAAGCTCAGCAGATGGCATGGGCAGTAATAAATAATTATTGAGTTTCTACCCTGTGCCAGGTTTAGACATTGGGACATTTTACAAGGCAGATGAAGCTTCTGCTCTCACAGGACTTCGACTTCTTTATGTTCTGAATCTTCTTGTTCTTGGTGTACTTCTCTCCCATTCTCCTCTCAAAAGCTTTGTTCATTCCGATTTGTCAGGCCCCATCTTTCCATTCATTATTTCATAAGTACCCATTGTGCACCCGATATGCGTCAGGTGCCGTGAGGTGCAGAGGGTTCGGGGTGAAAAGCCACAGCCTCTGCCTTAGTGGCTTTACAGTTTAGTTGAAATGATAGACAGGAGGGCAGATCATGGTAGACAGTGTGATGAGCTCTGTGATAGACACAGCTCCAAGTGAAAGAGATCTGAAAAGGGCAGGGGTGGCGATGGTCCCGGAGGTGGTGAGAGAGGGTGGTGAAGGCTCACTTCTTGAGATGGTGGTTACTTAATCTGCCCAGGTAACTGATTACAAGTCAGCCAAGTGAGGGAGATGTTAAAGGAATTCTGGCAAACATAGTGGTTGGGTAAGAACCTAGGACGCCGACTGGGGAACTTCAAGGAGCTGTCTCGGATGCAGGCTTTAGTGATGCAGGACAAGAAATGAAGAGGGTTATGGGTAAGAGCTGGGGCCTGGAGGACACTCACTGCCCAGCAAAAGTGTTTTGCCTTTCCTTTAAAGGTACTGGAGGAATACCGTAGGATTATAAATAAGAGAAAAGCCACGAGCAGGATTGAGTTTTAAGAATGATCGTTCCCATAGAAACTAGAGGAGGGGAGTTAGGAAGATACATGTGGTAATCCTGGCACGGAATTATGAGGGCCTGAACTGTGTAAGGTAGAGGCAATAGAGAGACGGAAGTCTTTGGAAAGGAATGTAGAAATACAAATCAGCGGGCCTGGTGGCCAAGAGGACTTCGGAGACGGAGAGGTGGGCGCAAGGCCTAGGAGGTGTGCAGAACCCGGATGTAAGCCTCCGTCTGCGGTAAGGGGTGACTGGGGAGGCCGGCCCGTGCCCTTCGTCAGTACCATGAGTCCCGGAGGAAGAGCAGCAGTATGGCAAGTGGGCACGGATTTGGTTTCGAGCACGTGCTTCCTCATCATGCAGCTGATGTTTACTCAGTACCTACTGTACCCAGGCCATCTGCTTGCTAAGCCCTCGGCCAGTAGTCCTCCTCAACCAAGGTTCAGCAAGAGAATGAATCCCCGGTACCCAAAGGCATTTAGCGCTTCTCTCCTTTGTGTGGTCCTAAAGACTTTCTGTGTTCTGTGGGACAGACGAGAACCCAGGGGGACCACGATGAACATGCGCATGACCTTGTGGAGCTGAGGGGCAGTGCCATTGTGGGTAAACCAGACGGTTGGAATACAGTGGGCTCATTTTGGGCAGGCTGGCCGGGGGAGGCACTGGAGGAGGTGACAGAAGGAGCCAGCATGGAGAAGCTGAGGGAAAAGAGGCTAGGAAGAGGAAACACCACCCATAAAATCTGTGCGGTAGGCGTGAGTGTGCTGTTTGAAGTGAAGAGAGGAGGCCATGGGTTGGAGAAATAATCAGTCAGACTCTTGAAGGTTGCATGCTGAGAGATCTTAAAAATGTCAGCAAGTTGCCCATATGGTGTAATTCACTTTTCAAATAATTCAATTTTGGGTAATTAAAAAAAATAATTTTAGAGTTACTAAAAAGTTATGGTTCACCAGTTAACATTTGCTCTATTCCTTTTTTAAGGTTCTTTGGTGCTGAGAGTTAAGCCCAGGGCCTCTCACATATTAAATACACTCTGCCACGGAGCCACACCCAGCCCCATATTCTTTCATATTCTCCTTTCCGTCCTTGTTATTTTTCTCAGCTCTCTGAGAATAGGTTACAAATACTACGATCCTTGACGTCTTGCTACTTAAGTGTCTGTTGCCTAAGAATAAGGATATTCTCCTACATAACCAGTGTGGTGATTGAACTTAAAAAGTTAGTGTTGGTGAATACTGTTACCTAATCTGCAAACCTTATCTGTATTTCTCTGCAATAATGTCATTCATAGGAAAAAAAAAGAAAAACAAACAAACAAACAGACCCACAGTCCAATACATGAATTCACATTGGATACAGTTTCTCCCCCAACCCAACCCCATTATTATTTTGAGACAGGGTCTCACTATGTAGTCCACTCTGGCCTTGAACTTTATCTTCCTGCCTCAGCCTCCTGATCCTGGGCTTATAAGCATGTGCCTCCATGTCGGGTCTGCCGTGTCTCTTTAGTCTCCTTTAATCTCAAGGGTCTTACCCTGCTTGTCAGGATCCCGATGGTTTTCAGAAGTACACACCAATTATTTTGTAGAATATCTCTTCATTTGAATTTGTGTTGCATTTCCTCATGATGCCATTCTGATTATGCATTTGAGACAGGAATGTTGCAGACACAACTTTCCAGACCTCCTCATTGCTTTATACCAGAAAATAGAGAATGTCCATTGATCTCATTCCTGCGGTGCTAACCTTGAATGCTCGGTTAAAGTGCTGGCTGCCTGGTGCGTTCCCTGTGGAGTTACCTCTCACTTTTTAATGAATAAGTACCCTGTAGAGAGATACACTGAGGCTAGGAAAACACTCAAGGCTTCCCTCCTAAGTCTTACACACACCGATGATTCTTACCTGAATCAATTATTATCTACGATGCTTGTCAAATAACAGTATGCTTCCAACATTTGTTTGTATTTCATTATAAGGAAGAGCTTTTCCTTCTTCCCACTCTATTTATTATTCATGTATTTATACCCATGCAGGTTCAGGAAGTCCTGTTTTACAACAGGATCACTGTCTTTTACAGCCCATTATTTTCACTGAAGTTTCAGTCATCTGCTATTTGCCAAGGGGAGTGGCTTCAAGCTGGCCAAGTCCTTGATCTGTCCTCTTACTCTTTGAACATTTTCTTAACTTCTGGCACAAGATTTTTCAGGTTCGTCTTGGACTTACCCTGCTCTAGCGCTGGGTTCAGGGGACTATGGTTCCTTATCTCCAGACAGGCTATTCAGAGCGTAGAAACAAATTTTAAAAGCTAAATGCCCGATGGTGGCGACTAAGTACCTGCATTACGGTGTATCTGAACAGTAAACACTGCTGCCACTGAAACACGGAAGATGGCAAGAGAAGCGTTCAAAAATTGTTAAAATGGCAGGATGCTCTTTGCTTATTCTGAAGAAGCAAAATAAGTAAATGAGTTCATGAAAATAAAGAATAATGGGCTGCTTAGCAGGCTGGTTTTATGTCCAGGAAGTGAGCTTGTGAGTGGTTTTAGTTTTCATCTTTTTGCCCACGTGCATTTTGACAACAGCAACAGCATCTATGGCTCTTGTAAGAAGAAAGCTGTTGCTGCAGAACAGAGTCAATGCTCTGCCTCCTGTTGGGTCACAGAAGTGACTCGCCTGTGGTTAACTGGATGTGTATTTTTGTCAAGAAGAATGTGGTTTCAGGCTGTGGATGCTTCTAACTGGCATTGTCTGGGGTCCATCGGGGGCCTTCTCCTGGGCCTTCTCATCGACTCCGTCCTTGTTCCTGTTTTCCTTCTTCTTTGCCCTTTGTACTTGCTGTCATCAGCTACCTTGCCTCATCCCAGGCACCTGTTGTACATGAACCTCGAAACTTAGCGACCTGAATCAAAGCATTTTCTCCTGAGCCTGCAGGTTGTGCAGAACTCGGTGCTCGGCTGGGCTTCACCCCGCATCTGCTGGGCTGGGTGGGCATGGAGAGCCTTCTATCAGGCAGCCTACTCAAGTGCTTGGCTCGTCAGTGCTGGCAGTCGGTGCCCTTCCTTGTGGGTCTCACCGTGGGGCCAATGAGCATCTTCACAGCTTGGGGGTCAAGTTTCTTATTGGGCTGCTGGGCCCCCGATGGTCAAGCACCCCAGGCTGGGGCTTAAAGTGCACAGGTTTATTTTCTTGCACTTCTGGAGTCCAGGATCAAGGTGTTGGTTTCAGTCTGAGGCCTCTGACCTTGGCTTGCAGATGGCTGCCCTGTGTCATCACACTGTCTCTGGTGTGTCTTCCTCTTCTGGCCCACCCTTCTGGCCTCCTTGTCCCTCGGTCACCTCTTTAAAGGCCTTGTCTCTGAATATGGCTGTGTCCTCGGGTGTAGGAGGTTGTGTCTCAAATGTCTCAAACATACTGATTTGAATGGACACAACATAACCCATATCCAGATTCCAAGAATGACGCCCAAGAAGCGAGAGAAAGGGGCAGTTGTCAGCTCCTCGAACCCGGGTGGGTCTGAAAACTGGCACTGCACCGGGTCTTCCGTATTTCACTGGCTAAACTCATAAAGCTCAGTCACAAAGAGCTGAGGACAGAGACCCCCATCTCTGGTTGGAAGGACTGTCTCAGAATTTTGGAGCTGTGTTTTAAAACCATCAGCCTTACTTTGAGTAATTTACTGCTCATAGCTGACCTGGCGTTGGAAAGCTGCGATCCTTCCCCTCTTTGTCCTAGTCCTGAGTGAAAATGTGCTTCTCAATCCTTTGCTAAGTCCTAGTGATCTCATTTACTATGCTACTATCATAGGCTGCTAACAAGAGCTGTACCACTAGAGCTCCAGTGTGTTACCTGAAAACCACTACCACTGGCCACTTGCAGCTGAATGGGTGGAAGCCACTCATTGAAGGACAGCTGGAAAACCTCCTATTCTGTTTTTCTTTATTTCATTACATTTTTCACCTTGAAGCGTACTGTACATTGCATTTATTTCTTACGCCTGTTGTTTCTTTTGCTCTCCGATGTATCTCAAGTGCTCAGAACCGTGCTTAGTACCGAGTAGGTATCGAATAAATATTTGTCGAATAGATGAAAACACCTTTTGTGCTTTGCGACTCTTAAGTGTTAAGCTAACCAGTAAGTTCACTCTGTTTTCCTCACAGTGTAAAGAGGCTGTCCAGGAACTTGCACGCTGCGTAGCGTTGACGAGGATTTGCTACGGCGACTGCCACTGGAAGCTGGCAGAGGCGCATGTGAGTCTGGCTCAAGGCTACCTCCTGATGAAAGGTAAGCCCATTCCACACTGAGGGAGATGAGTTGGCTGGTTTCTACTGTTCTCTCAAATTCGATTCCCACTTACCTGCAAGGATCTGTTTTGTAGGTATTCTCCTTTACAAGTATCCAGAAGCCGTTTCCTTTTAGAAAGACTCAGAAAGGTATCTAACATGTAAACATCCACAGGGGAAAAAGAAGGAAGATTGCCCTTCTGCGTTTGTCTTTTATGATCTTAACTTTAGGGTTCTTAGGAGATGATTAATCTGTTAGGTCAGAAGGTGTTGCGGAAAGAACCCAAGACATAAAATAGGGGCTTAGCATGACTCCATTCTCAATTGAGAGCTGATACTCTTGAACCTCAACCTAGCTTGTGTCCAGAACAGAGTTCAAGTTCTTTTTTTTTTTCTTTTTATTGAGTTTATTAGTACATTTTAGGTATACAGTACAGTTACATTCATTACTGGGATCCTGTACCTTCACATGACAGGTCTTGGTTCTCATTTTTTTCCCTTGTCCCTGCCCTCCCTTCATCCCCTCCTCCCCTCCCCATTAACAAACTCTTTATTTCCATTTTTTCATTTTTTTCCTTTCCTTTATTACCTTTTTCCTACCCTTTCCACTTTCCCTACATCTTTAGCCCTTTTCCTCCTATTTCACACTCTTAATTATCCCATTAGGATCTTGTGTACTTTTATAGTTTTTCACACCAGAGAAACTATTTGGTATTTACACATGTGTGACTTATTTATTTCACTTAAGAGTTTTTCTTCAATATGTATCCATTTTCCTATGAATGACTCTAATTTCTCGTTCTTTATGGCTGAGTAGTATTCCATTTTATAGAAAAGCCACATCTCCTTTATCCAGTTTCCAACAGATGGGCAGATGGGCTGTTTCCAAGTTTTAGCTATTATAAACTGTGCCGCTATGAACATTGGTGCACATATATCATGGTGGTATGATTCTTTTAAATCTTTTGGAAAGATACCCAGCAGAGGGATGGCTGGGTCAAATGGAACCTCTACTCCCAGCTCTTTGAGGTATCTCCATATTGATTTCCATAGTGGTTGCACCAGTCTGCACTCCCACCAGCAATGGAGAAGGGTTCCTTTCTCCCCACAGCCCCACCAACATTTGTTATTGTGTGATTTCTTGATAGCAGCCATTCTTTGTGGGGTGAGGTGGAACTTCAGTGTTGTTTTCATCTGCATCTCTCAAATGACCAGTGCTGTGGAGCATTTTTTCGTATACTTACTTGCTGCTTTTGAGTTCAAGTTCTTAATGGACGAGACCATAGTTGGACGTGCAGCTCCCATTCCCTGGGTTAGACCATAGGCACAGTTCGCACTAATAAGTTTCAGGTAGGCTGGTGAAGTAGGTGCTTTTTAAAAAAATAAACACACTAAAAACTGTGAGTTCCGACATGCAGACAGCAGAGCCTGGATTTTTGCTATTAGAGAGTGTATTGTTTCTGCTCTATAGAAAACAGAATTAACTTCATATTTTGACACCTTCTCAGAGATTCCAGATACAAGTCCGTGTAATTGAGAACACAGTACCCGGGGGTGTGGATGGGAAAGGCAGGGACCGTCAGTGGGGGCCTGAGTGTGGGGAAGCACAAAGCACTGACTCCTAGCTGGTCATCATCAGTGTGACACCTTCCATGGTCTGACAAGCCCACAGGAGAGTGCTAGAGCACACTGGAAATTAGTCCTGAGTAACTTTTATAGCCACCATTGTACTAGCATTCTGTTAACTTAACTATGACTATAGATGAATGGGGAGAAGATCCAGAATTTTTAGTATTTCATTAAGATTGCTGTCACAAAGCCAGGATTAAGATTCATGAGGGTCTTGCTTCCTGCCCCAAATGCAACTCTTATATTCCATTTGTTTTTTTATAATTATTTGGAAGATGTTTTATGTCTGATATTGGTGAGGCTTCAAAGTGGTTCAATTCCATCTTGTTCTGTTTATTTCTCAAAAGGCCATTTGGGGAACATTTTCATCTTGAGTAACTGACATGAAACAACACTATAATTGTTACAGTCATGACAGTATTCCTGCTGTCCAGGTATAGGTCTGTGTGGACAGTATGCAGAAACCTTGTGGGGTCGCTGGGCCAGAGAGAACTATATTCCTGTCCATCTAAGATTAAAAAGAAACTGAGACTTCATTTTCTTTGTCCACAGGATTTTCGCTGCAAGCAAAACAACATGCAGAGAAAGCCAAAGAGATCCTCACCGACTTCATTGTGCCTCCTTATAACGATAATACGGATGTCTTCAAGTGTTCGGTAGAGCTTTTCCATACCATGGGAAGAGCCTTCCTTTCCCTTCAAAAGTATCCTTTTGTCTCTTATCTTAACAAATAGAAATATTGCTCATGTAATACTTCCCTTCAGTTCTCAGGGTAAGTAAAAAACTGATAGAAGACCGAGGAAGGGTGATAGGCAATGTGAAAGCCAAGCCAAGAAATTCCAATACCGGGGGTCCCAGAACCGAGATCATTTCCTGAGCATAATCCAGATTTAGTGAAGCTTCAGAGAATTTGGTGAAAGCAGAGAGACTTTCAAGGGAGCTGCTACAGTGCGGGCGGATTGTAAAGGAAGAGTGGATCGAAGTCCAAGCACGGATCAAGTGGTCATTTGCACAGTAAGTTTCATGTTTGGACTACAGCCATGGTGGGTGGAGGGTCTTTGCCAGGAGTTTCTCTTTAGACAGCAGTGGCCTCTCCTTGGGGCTGTGTCTCTTAGAGGCTTCTCTCAAGGCTTTGGTCCAGAAGCTAAAGAGAAGCCCGGTCATGGCAGAGCAGCCCAACTGAGAGACATCAGCAACACTTTCCATGTGATGTCAAATGCTGTCTCATCTACCCAGGGCCCTAGATTTCCGATCGCTGCTTCCTTGGCTGACGTTCTGCCCATGCTTTCTTCCTGCCTGCTGCCTCTGCATCCTTCCCTTCCCCTCTCCTGCTTTCTGCCCCCACCCCTCTAACTGCTATGGTCTGAAAGGGTTCAGTAGCTTGACTTGACGATCAGGGCCTCCAAGGACAAAGATCTTAGGTATATCTGAATCTGTGATACTAAGACAATTGTTCTTGCTTCCCACCTGCTCTACACTCACCAAGTAAACCAGGCTGGAAAGGACATAAAGAGAAGGCCATGGGTCCTGGGTAGGTAGCACGTTCACCCCTGCCCAAAGTTCCCCAACCCTATGCCAGTTCCCCAGACTACTGGGGTGACAGAATATGCCCATTCTGTGTGGCAAGACGGAATGGTGGGGGGAAGATGGCAGAAAAAGGTCCTTTCTAGAAGAGACAGAATCCTCACTGGCCTATAAGACTGCCCTTAACTAAAGCCAGAATTCAGTGCACCATCATAGGTTGATTCTCAGAAGAACTCAGCAAATCTATAGGATCATGCTAAGAAATGTATTAGGAAAGAATCCCAAGTGAGCACACCTAATGCTTCCATGCGGATGGAAAATGGGAACAAACAACCGTGGCTCAAGCTTTAAAAAAATATACAGGGGGTGTAGGGAAATTTTGTGACCGTTCATGTGTATGTGGGGGGGTAACTGGTTCCTCCTTGTTCATCTGTTTTGTCTGGGGTATCTGGACTGCAAGTGCAGCGTTCATCTGTCCACGCAAGGCCTTCAGTCTCCGTTTTTAAATAAACATTTTCCTTCATCTCTTATTTTCATCCTCACTCTCCCTCCCCCACCCCACAGTATCGATATCTATTTCAATGGTTGTTTATGTCTTTGACTGTGGATCTATGAAAAATAATGTTTAGTATGTGTGTGCTTTAGGTTTATATAAACTCGTACCTATCTGCTTCTTACTTTTTTTCTACTCAACTCTTTTGAGCTGGGCATGGTGGCCCACACCTGTCATCCCAGCACTTGGAAGGCTGAGGCAGGAGGATCGCTGTGAGTTCAAGACCAGCCTGGGCTACGTAGTGAGTTCCAGGTCAGTCTCAACTACATAGCGAGACCCTGTCTCAAAAAGCAACAACAACAAAAACTCTTTCAAACTGCTGCCTGTACTCCAGATGCTTGTTTCCGACCTCTGCAGAATGCTTCCCAGAATGCAGGCAGCGCATTTTGCCTGTCCCTCTCTGAGCAGTGGACACTGTCCCCAGCTCTGCTGCCACAGCAGTGCTGCCATGAATATTCACTTAGGCAGCCGAGGGAGGCCTTGGCAGGGTTTACGCCCTTGGGGTGGGATTTTTGGGGCACACTTCCAGTTCACTAAGCACTGGCTGACTGCTGACCCTGTGGGAGCCTTGCTCACTGCACAGATAGATTTATTTCTATTTCTCACACCTCACTGACGCTTCGCACTGTTGTCTTTCTGCCTGGCCAACCTGGTGCGTGTCACACGCTAATTATATTCAATTCTATTTATATTTATCTTATTACTGAGTTTAAATACCTCTCCCTATACTTCTTAGCCATTTGGGATTCCCTTTCTATGAATAGGCTATGAATATTCCTCTTTATTTTTTGCTTTTGGAATTCTCTGTACTCTTTGTATGGATAATCGATATTTTCTTGAATGTCAAAAATATTAGCGATATTACATTTTTTATGTTTGATTTATTTTGTCCATGTTCTTCGTGGCATAGAAAGTCTTTCATTTTGTCAGAGTCAAATTCATTCATGTTTACCTTTTACATTTTGAGAATTTGGTTACAAAATGTTTCCAATCCAAATATCAGAAGTATTCTCCAGGGCCAGGGATTTAGCTCAGTGTCACTGCACCTGCCCTGCAAGCACAAGGTCCTGAGTTCGATCCCCATACAAAAAAAAAAGTATTCTCCACAATTTCCCTACAAGCCCTGCTTTAGTTTTACCTTCCTATATTATAACGTGTAACATTTATCAGTGTCATTAAGTAAGTTCTCAGCATTTCTTAACTTATTCAGATGATGTGTATTTAAGTTTACAGATATTTGTGATTTTTCGAGGTATTCTGATGTTACTGATTCCTAATTTTATTACAGTATGAACAAAAACATATTTGTATGCTATCAACTCTTCGAAATGTATTGAAGCCTTCTTTATGACCTCGCCCATTTTCAGCTTTTATGAATGTTCCAAATATAGTATGAAATAAATTATATTTGTTATTTTTCTATTTACTATTTGCTATTCTAGTAAATCTGCAGTAGTTAATCTCATTAATCTGTTTAATCTTATGTATTTATTTTAATTTAATAAAATTTAAATTTATTTTAATAAATTAATTATTAATAAATCAAATTATTTAATAAATTAATAAATTTAAATAAATTTAAATTATTTTAATCTGTTAGTCTTATTCTGTTCAAATTTGTATCTTTATGTTTTGCAAATCTGATATATTAGTGTTTGCTGGTTTTGGTACCAGGGAACGAACTCGGGACTTTGTGCTCGATATAGTAGTTTTTACGGTGAATGAACTGTATTAAAATCTCCACGTATAATTGGTGATCTGCCTGCATCCACTCAGAGCTCTGCCAGTTACTGTTGTATATGTTGTGAGCCTGTTTTGTTGGAAAGAGGAGAGTTCAACAGCTCCATTAATCACTTTCTTAATCTGTGACTTTGCTTATCAGTAGTTCTCATCATTTCTTGTTCTCTCTTATCTTGCCTGATGTTATGACTTCTTTTCCTACAAATTTTGCTTTAATGCCCTTTTTCATATTTTTAATTCTTTGAGTTTGTTTCCTTTTATCCTACCAATTTTCTGTTATTTTTCTTGCTGTCTTTTAGATTACATCTCAAAATTTTCATCATTCCATTTTCCTTCCCACGTACTCGTAAACTATACATTATTTTCTTTTTGTTCTCATGGTTTCTATGGAGTTTGTCATTTATATATCTGACTTATTGTGATCTAATTAGAAATTAGTTAATGGCTTCCAGGCAATGCAAGGGTGAGGCTCTCGCGGGGCACCATGTGGCCCTGCATAATTAAATCACCATGTTTTATACCACAGGCAAGCACAGAGAGGAAGAAGATTTATCTGTAATATGTGTGACTGATAAAGGGCTCATATCTAGAATCTGTGAGACGCCCCAATATCTTACTAAAATAAAGGCAACCTGAACAGGAAAAGAAAAAAGCAAGAGTCTTTTCACAAAGAAAGGATACTCACATAGCTAACATGCTTACTAAAGGCTCCCTCTCATCAGACATCAGAGAAATGAACATTCACATCAAAGATAATGTTATAGCCCCGCTAATGGCTGAGACTTCTTGAAAGACTGGTAACATCAGAGTGGACAAGGATGTGGGAGACAGGTGTGGCTTCTCCTGTGCCACAGCTGGGACAGTGCAGTATGATTAAGGAAACATTTGTCATTATCTGCTAGATTTGAACATTTACATTCTCATTAGCCCAATAGTATCACTGCAAAATAACCACCTAACAGGAATAATGTATTCACCAAAAGGCACAGCCAAGTGTGTTCAAAGCTTCATTATTGATGATCGCCAAGAATTGGAAAACAACCTAAATGTTTCTGAAAAGTAGAATAATATTGACTACACCTTGATGGATATCATAGCTGACTCTCACTGACACAGTGTTTAGTGCAAGAAACCAGACCCAGAGGAATTATGCAATTCCATTTATGTAAGGAGAGGAGGAAAGCGCTCTTGGTGACTGGGAGAGTTTATCCAGAATCTTACCCTGCACATAACTAGCCACTATTCTGTCTTGTAAGGCAGAGTTTCATATTTGTTCCATCTGTTGAGATCTGACATAGCAGTGCATAGTTTTGAGTAGCGTCGCTGCAAAACAGCAAATTATCCTCTCCAAGAATCTGGCTCCGCCTCAAAGATCCTTTCAAAATAGCAGTACCAAACCTTGCCAGCAGATGGCGGGCCTTGTACGCATCTATGCTCAATAACAAGAACTTTAGTGTAGCAAGCCGTTCTACAAAGTTACTTTTGCTTTTAGCAGAGCTGTTACAAACTTTGCGACTTCTTTTCATCCAGATTTCTCATCCCTACATCTTCACTGGAACAAACGTATTTACACTGCACCCCTTTCATTCAATGAGTTTGCTTTATTTCCTCATTAAAATGTGAAATGTTTCCTCATTGAAATATCCAAACAGATCTACATTTGAACCAACGTTGTGGTTTTCCTTTTTCCAGGTCTTAGCCGTGAAAGACCAGGGTAATTTCTCAGGCACCTCTCCCAGGGGTTTCCCTTTAAAAGGCTACCTTTCAGTGTATCCTCTTCCTCCATCTGCCTCTCCTTTTATGGTACCCGGGAGGCCTGCTGGTGCCTTTCTCCCTGGGCAGACACAGAAGTGCTGCAGGCTGAGTCATGCTCCATGCCTTCCATCCTTGCTTTGGGCCTGAAAGCTTCTTTCCTCTCTCTCTCCTTCTCTGTCCCAGCATCGCTTCATTCAGCAGTGATTCCTTAACTTTGGAGGGTAAATCCAATCATGTATACCTGGGTTATATTTCAGCTATATCCCCTTAAGTCCCCAGCAAAAATGAGTAAACTTTCCCTCAGGGTTCAGAGCTATCTATGTTCTATGCTGATCTATTCTAATCTGCATTCTGTTCAAATTTCCAGAGAGAGAGATAGTGGTGTTTATATACACAGGCATATACTATGGTGTGCTTGTACGTGCACACACACACACACACA